CACTGTGACAAAGCGGGTGATGAAAGCTTTCATCGGCTCACCTGAACGAATGGCAGTCTCAAAAAAAAATTCTTTCAGAGCTTCATTCATGTCGTCCTTCTCAAGCGGCCTGAAACGCTCGTCCAAAGCCTTGAACACTAGGCGTTCCCCACCACTCTTCGCCAAGTCCTCCACGGGAATATGTTCAACCGCCAACTCGGCCTCGCCTGCCAGGAACTCGATCAATTTCGGACCATATTTCTCAGCAGGATACGTATTAGGCAGACTGATGATCATCAAAGCTGCCCGACGCCGCCACCTTTTGTAAAGGCTAGGATCAGAGCCATCGAATCGTTCCAGCCGTGTAGAAGCACCGCCAGTCGAATCGCTAGCCATGGGGATGGAGCCCAGCCGCTACCCCTCGTGCATCGACGACGGGCACGAGCGGCAACGACCGGGCTCCGCTACCACTGTGAAAAACCCAAGCGCGCAATCACGCACTTTTCAACTGTGCCGGTACGGCCTCGGAAGGTAAAGTGTTCTACCCCATGGTTCTGTCACACATGGGTCCGTCCTCGGTGTCCTGAATTTCACACCATGTTCATTAGTTTCTGACCCCACAACGGCGCGCACTTTCTGGTTAGATTTGGCAAGTGGACAGTGGACCGGCGACTCCATAGCCACGTCCTGCCATATTTTCTATTGGAACCTGCCCACTTCAAAGGTAGAGGAATGCGATGGCCTCTAACCCAGTTGCGGTGGCCAGTGGCAATGGTCTCCACCTTGCTAGGGATGGCTTCCAGAAGGTCAGATAGACAGTCCATTAAAGCCTTCACGACTTGTTTTGTTTTTTTTTTTGCGCTCTTGTTTTCCGGCATGGGTCTGGTCGGTGCTGCGGGGACTGGATGTGCCAAAAATCCAAGGGCGATTGCTTACCCCCGAAGGGGGAGACGACTTGGGTGCACCTCCCCAGCCAAGTCAAAGCGTCACCGAGGGAGGGACAAAGACCGTCGACATTGGAGGCAAAAGAACCGGGAAGGAAGAGCAGACTGCTGGCAAAAGCACGCATGGCTGCCGCCGAGGGAAAGGCGGACCACCGGGAAGCCCAGGCCTGGGTGGCAGAGGAGCGCAGGACAGGAGAGGCAGATGCAGCTTTATGGCGAGCAAGGAGTCGGAGGAAGTGTGCTGCTTCGGGACTCCAACGATCCGCCACTTCAATGCCAATAACGACTAGTTTGCAGCGCCCAGCTCCGAGAAGCTCCGGTTATGTGCGCTCCTTAGCCGGTCGGGCTTGGCGGAGAGCAGCGCCGATTGTTTCGCCTTGGTGTCGACGTGAGGCGGCTGACGCGGCCAAAGGGGAAACCAAGGCCGTGTCCACTGCCAACTGCATGCCATTCCACAAGGGGAACCCAATGGCGATCACTTCAAGATGGTTCGGCTCCGCTTTGTAAAAAAGCCGGCAGACAATTTTTCTAATGCAAATAATAAAAGAATGATGTTCTAGCAAGGTTCAACGGAAAAAAAAAAACAGTGAACACATGTATCCTTTGTCATTTTTCGTCGAGGTTGGAACTCTTGGGTGCAGGGTGTTTCGCTTTCCGGGCTGGAGCCGAGGTGCGGCAGGGAAATGGGTCTAGTTGAAATCGCAAGTTTCGTCACTGTCTATCATGGCCCTGTCTTCCACATGAAACTTTGTTTAACTCCATGACTAAAGGGTTGTCTTCTAATTGACAAACGATTTTTTGTTTGTTTTCAAATCTTCGTTGTCCATAGTATATGGTAGAAGGACATGCCATTCATCGAATTAGGCTTCATAGTGTTGCATTGCTGTGCCATGATTGATGGTTTGTGCTTTCGGTGTCCGAGCAAGCTCTCATAGTTCCAGAATGAAGCCGTGCTCGTGGGCGGACTGGTGGCCAATCCCCCGCCACATGTCGAGGCCAAGGGCTGCGACCCTGGTGCCGTCTTCCCGCGACAATTTCCGGCCCGGTTTCACAAAAACTCTTTTCAGAACTGTTCTCGACTCTACAAAACCGTCACTCCAGGACGTCTATTCAACAACCCTGCCGCCTGCTGGCACCCACCCCACGGTCCATTACAAAACCGAAATCCAGAAAACCAGGCGACCCGGCTGGGAATGGCGGACCCCTCACCATAGCCGGAGAACACATCGCTGAGCAAGGGGATGGCTCCATCAAGGGACGGCACTGAAAAGGAAGCAGGGCTGAAGGCTGCGAACGCTGACCATCTGGAGGTCCAAGCTGAAGCCGCAGCCGGCTGGAGGGAGGCCAGAGCGGTCTGGATTTGTTTTGGCGAAGGAGCTACCCCAGATAGGGAAGTCCATCTAACGAACCGTGTCCCACCTGTTGTAGGTCAAAGGAAACGTTGAAAATTGATAAAATAATTCTGAGTTGCCCTGCTCTTTGAAGAGCCCGCGTGTTCTATGTGGCTTATGTTTTCCCATCAGCCCTACGGTCAAGGTGAGACACCGGCACCTCCTCAATGGAGCGCTACGCGGCCGGGAGGGCAAAGGAGAAAAGCCGGCTTGTGCTAGTGCCAAAAGCGAAGAAGGATGCTTCTTCCTGATACCAACCCCGGGGCCAAGCACGACGAAGCGGCACCTCCCGGTCCCGACGAGCTTCGGGCATGTAAATACGTTCCTTCGCGCTTCTGGCATGCATTAGGCTCTGCCAAAAAAACACCGGAACGTTCCACGGCCAACGGCGTTCTTTGCAAACCCATGTCTTCATCTGCCGTGCGCGGATCCATGAGAAACCACATTAAGAGGAAGGACGAGTTTTGGGGCAGGGCGTTGGCCGGGTTGTAATAACAACGCGCGTTGTCCACGCATTTGGCCTGTAGTTCAAAAAGCGAATGACACTTGCAGTCCATGTTTTGGTTCCATTTGATCCTGTCGCGTGTCCTCTTTTCACTGTTGGCGTGTTGTTGCTTTCACTGCGTTTCTGCGTTGGTCCCTCGGCTGGACGTTATTCTGCTTCCACATTGTTCCTGCAGACTTCGACACTGGGTTCTCAACACATAGGTAATATTCGTGTGCATGCCCTGCCGAGCGACATTGGTGTTGAGCAGGACGTTGGTGTCGCGAAACGGTAAAGGGACCATAAAAGCCTAGCCGAAAAAGGAGTACAGGAACTGAGCCCGGAGTGCTTGCGTTGCCTCCGGCCAAGGGACCCCGCGCAGAGCCTTCTGCACGGGAAGGCCACGGCTCTATTTCTGTCAGGGCACGCGCGCCAGAATGTCCACCAACTTCCTTGTCAGCCACACGAACACAAGCACAGGCGCACAGACACGCCGAGGACGGCCACCCTGCTCAAAAAAAACATGTCATGTCAAGCTACCATCAACAAACCGTTATGTTTACCTCGCTACAGTCAAGCAAGGCTTTGTGTTGCGTTCGCACGGGCGGGGCCTGACGGGAAACAAAACCCTGACAAATCGTGTTTCGCGGACGTCACTGAGCACACCGCGGACTTAGTGAAGGAAATATAATCCCCTCCTGGCCCCCACCACGCTCTAAAATTCCCGCACGCAAGCGAAAACTGCGGTGGGGTTAAGGCTTTGCTCCCGCAAGTAGGAGCATAGGACCACCGCCAGCAATCATTGTAAAACGGTTCTTGCTGCTGATTGTCAATACGGCCGTCTGGGCACACTCAGCGCGGGTTGAGCCCCAAGAACCCAACCCCATTCTCGCCACAAACCACTCATGAAATTGGAGGTCAATAAGGCAGGTGCCACGTTCACCGAACCAATCATACCGAGGCTCCCAAAGCCCCCTTCTAAAACCCAAGCTGTTGAATTTGAATTTCTGTTCCAACGCAAAAGCTTTAAAAGCAAAACCGAAAAATTGCATCTATTTTTGGAAGTGTCATAAAAAATGTTCACCTAGTTCCTGCCGGTTCCCAAGCCAAAAATCATAGTTTTGCTAAGAAGGTTGCCCGGCCCCACTTTAGCTGAATGTTCTTTGGCCAGGTCGATCAAACCGAACCTGTTATATACCCACATAACACAATTGGCCAGCCGATTTTCGGGGTCCAACCCGGAAAAGTGAGAAAAATGAAGCACCCCATCCTAGCCATGATGGTCACACGGCTCGGTTCTTGTAAATCATTTCGTTGTCTCTTTGACAACTCCTCTTGCGGCCGCTGCAAAGCCTTGTTCAATATGTTTGAGTGTTGCATTGGCACGGCCTCGCCAGTGGCGCCAAACTCTTTATATAAAGAACGATTGCTCAACCAAACTACTGAGGATGGGGTTTCGGGTTTGACACGCTTCCATCCCTCTTTTTGTGGGTTGCTCTTACGGGAGGGCCCTGCTCACGTTGCACACCGCCATTGGGCAAGGCAGGAGAAAAACATCGACAAGGTGCAAAAACATCGCACAGTGGGAAACTGAAAACGTCCCTCTTGCATCCATTTGTGTTGTCCTTTGCTGGGTGACTTCATTTGGCCCGCAGAAATGTGATTTTGTGGCTGCTTGTGCCCCTGCAACAACATCATTGCATCTTTCGACTCAAGCGACTGCGGGCACAAGCTGGGCCAGTGGCGATAGGCCCAGCCGGCACACTTTGCTTCAAGTGAACATGGCCCACTTCGCGGCCGAGTTCAACAGTGGAGGGGTGGTGAGCCAGAAATGTCTTTGAACACAATACCAGCCAGGTTCCCAAAACCGCTGTTCTTTCGTTGCCATGATTTGACGGTGCGGCACAATTTGGCCGGCCCACAATGGAAAACAAGATGCAGGGGAAGGTCGAACCGGAAGCAACAAAATCAAAAATTGACAAGGCAGAATTGATCAAAGCGTTGGTACAATCGATCAAACACCTGGAAAAAAATCCGTCCGTCCCACCTGGGACAAGGCACAAAACAGCATTCGAAAGGCCAGTCTGCACACGCGCCTCCGTTTGCAGCGGTTTGTCTGTTTGTTTTGGGGGCTCGGGTCACAGACACGCAGGCAAGAGCGTCGTTGGCCAGCAACAGTGTGGGAGCCACTTAGGCCTGGGCAGTTGAGTGTCATCGGCGGCCTTCCAGTCTTCGTCGACCGCAATCCCACTGAGTTGGACCACTCCGCTGCTTCATTGTCCTTGCAGACGCAACATGTCTGCGCGTGCTGAAACCGCATGCGCCGAACATCATCAGAAGCTCATGGGCAGCAAATTGGAAGATTGTGTTTCGTCATGTGTGCGCGGCCGCAAAATATCAACAATCGAAACAACTGGCTGAGCTGGTTGGGCCAGGCCCAAAACAAGAACTCACAACTTCAATGATGACACCGTGAGCGCCTCCGGTTTCTTGACATGTAAAAACACGGATGCGGCAGCTTCCCTTTTCGACCCCGCTCCTTGAGCCAAAGTCACAGTCGGTTCAGACTGCCTCAAAAGTTCTCAAAGCTTCTCCAAAGCTTGTCAACTCTTCTTAAAAGAGTCATGACTGTTCACAGTCATCTCAAACCTACACAAAACTAAAGAGAACTGAGTCTCTCAAACAATCTCCATGTACACGCTGTGTTACTAAAAGGTTCTCTAAGCATTCTCTAGCCTTATGAGATTTTCAGGGCCACAGACAAGGAGATCAAAAATATGTTTTTTAACATTACGCTATCATTTTGTTATCATCCTTGCTTATCGTTATTGTATCATTTGTTTATCATTGATACATTCACTTCTCAAGAGGCTTTGCAATGGCAAGGCCTTTGTTGTTCCCAATGAATATGGCTCCAGACAAGGTGGAAGCTTGCTTCGCATAGGACATAGACATAGGGCGTAGGCTCAGTAGAGTCTAGCCATGTCTAGCCACACCAAACCTTCTAAAAGGTTATACTGCCAAGTTGGTCAAAGCAAAACACCAACAAAGGACCACAAACCAAAGTCAGCCCCAACCCCAAGTCATCAGAAACGAAGTCTACCTAGGAGACAGGCACTAGGTGGTCCACACCCTCTACATACTGGCTACGCGCTATCTTTCACACCCCTTCTTGGTCAATATGCGCCGCCATCTGTCTCTCTTCTTCTTCTCTTCTTTCGTTTTCTCCGGACAACTAAGGATCAGACAACAACTAAGATCCATACACCTGTCCTCAAAGGTGATCTCAAAGTCATCAATCTAGAAGGAAACTCGAGTCCAGCTCAAGCAAAACTCCAGACCCAACAAAGAATCGACCAATAACAAGCACGCAAACAACCAAGATTGCAAATCAAGAAGGATCTCTCAGAGGTGAGTCATGGAATCTCACAGAACGATTCCTTCATCAGTGACTCATGAATCCTCATCACCGAGATCCTCAAAAGCAAAGCTTTCAAGGACAACATACCTGTCAGTTCAGGAAAGAAAAGGTGAACTAGGGTTACCATGCCGCGCAAACATCTATCCAAAAGACCGGACAAGTGCACAGAGTGACACGCAACTGGAAGTGAGATCGCAAGAAACCTTCTAGAAGTTAAACTTGCACTGAAGTTGACTGCAACTGCATGACACAAAGCTGAACTTGCAATGCCACAGCAAATCCCTGATCTAGAATTACAACCCTCTTGGCTCTGATCTCGTAATCCTGGTCGCGGCTGCTCTTCAAACCTTCATCGATGCTCTTCAAACCCTTGCTTTCATTTCGCTGGGTTTCTTCCTCCTTTCTCATGCTTCCAATCCCTTTGAACAAGAAACAAAAAACAATACAAAGCCTCGCTTGACTAGCCTGACGATCCAAACCTGACAAGATCAAGTTCAATCCAACCCAAGATCAAGGCAATTCAACTTCAAGCCAATCCAAACTCCACATGCCTCAAGTCATTCAAGGTTCAAACGCGACGCAAACAAGAAACTGTGATCTATAAACTCCTGTTTTTGCAAAGGCTTGGATGAGCAGTGCAAATCAGCTTCCATTAGCGGCTTATGCGCCCATGGCTGGGGTGATAATCAAGTGGAGTCTGCTGCTGCAACTGTCGCCCTCCGATGGAGACGCCATGTGTGCATGGTGCACAGGTCATCTTTGACTACGTTTGACTGAATCTCCCGGTGAAAGGAAAAGAGAAACAAAAACCAAAACACAAAAAGCAACCCAACCAACCAAAAACAACAACCAGCCCCCAAAACCACGAAAACGAAAGGAGATTCAACTTTGCACATGCAAGGTGAAACGTTGGTGAAACAATGCTATGACTTCTTTGTAGTTGGGCAATGAATTCAGGTGTGAGCTTCGAAAGTTGATTCGTCCTCGTTTGTACTCTCGAAGGAGAGGGACAGAGGGCCTGAAGTAGCAGGCCTGTTCAAGAGCACAGTTGAAATCAGTGCTCTAGACATCCCTTTTCACATTCCTCCGACCAGAACAAGCACATCCTGACCCCACAGGGCTTGCGCTCTATGCAGACCCAGCATTCTGGCTGTATGGTTTGCTGTCCTTTTGTGCGAAAACCTGCGAATCCAAAACCGCGGAAGTTGGCGGCATCCCTGCCTTTCGCACTAAAGATGAAAATGCAACTCCTGCACTGGAGTCCACCTGCAATGCCCTGTCACTAATGCAAACAGTGGTTGTGTCCTTCGGCCGCAATCAATGCTTAGGCAAACCAGACTTGCCTATCTATCATTTGCATGTCTACTTTCCCCTGCAGCTGGTCCATAAGCTCGCTTTGCTTCGAGCCTACTTTCAATGGGGCTAAGAAGATAAGACGAAGAAGCCGTGTGCTCTCCCGCATCCGAACGCCCTCCTTGCAACCACGTGGCAAGCTACTGTCACATGGATCAGCTATGCACGCTATGTCCAGGAAACCGACAGGTTCAATGCAGCGCGCAAGACCTGGCCACTATCGGACAATCAATCAGGCCAATCCTGCGCGTGCCATTCCTGATCAGGAGCAAGACTCCCTAAGCAGTCAGGGCGGTTAGTGACCTCACCCCGACTGTGCAGGAGCCAATATGACTCAGGAGGCAGGCACTTGAGGTTACCCTTGAGGTCACCTGCTACTGGCTGTGTACAGTAGGATGCACCCTATGACTGAAACTTGTAGACATCATATGCATCTGGTGACTGACAGAAGCTTCTCTCTTTCTGGCAATTGGCTCAAACCAGGTGCAAGAAAAATATGACATTATTTTTTTCCACGAGTACGGACGCCATGTGGGCGGAGTGCCCAGGTCATCATTGAAAGGGAAGGAAACACAAAATGATGAGGGGAAAAGAACAAAAGCAAACCCAAACCAAACACAACACCAAACAAAAACCAAAACCAACAACCAAAAAACACACCCAAGGCCAGAGGCCGTTTCACCCTCATCTAAAAGTGTTTCCTCTGTACCTAGGTGAGACGTGTGAGAAAGACTGCGAACTAACTAGGGGCCTGAATTCACGATGAAAGTCGGACGGCATGGATGAGCGGAGTGCAGCAAAGCCTATCAAAGGGGCTTCGTCCCACCCAAACTGTGACCAAGGGGGCCACTGCATCGAATGGCAAAGCCGATGATCAGGTACAATGCAAAACCTGCATTGTTGTTTGTCAGCCAGTCTGATCCTTGCCCAGAGGAGTCAGTTCTTGCTCAGCCTATCAAGCCATGGAAAAAGCCCGTCTCGGTGTACAACCCTTTCAACTGATTGCTCGACAAAGACGAGAGGCATGTCAATTGTCAGACAGTGGAGGCAGAGACAACGAAAGGGATTTGCTGACGATGGTGATGCCACCCCCCCCCCCGCAGGGAGGTCACTATTGCACCCCTTAGCAGACAAGGAGCGCCATAGGGGTACTTCCAGTTTCAAAAAGAGAGAGCGGCATGAGTTGCAAAACGTCTCCTGTTGCATGCAAGGCCCGGGTGAGACAGGTGAAACATGGACCTATCCTAGCATGGTACTTGTGCCTCTTGTATTTTTTTCCACGAGCGCGGACGCCGTGTGGGCGGAGTGCCCAGGTCATCATTGAAGGGGAAGGAATCACAACATGATGAGGGGAAAAGAACACAAGCAACCCCAAAACCCAAAAACACCAAACAAAAACCAGAACCCAGAACAAAAACACCCCCAGAGGCCAGAGGCCGTTTCACCCTCATCTAAAAGTGTTTCCTCTGTACCAGGGTGAGACATGTGAGAAAGACTGCAAACTAACTAAGGGCCTGAATTCAGAATGAAAGTCGGACAGCATGGTCGGCGCAAGAGCGGAGTGCAGCAAAGCCTATCAAAGGGGCTTCGCCCCACCCACCAAGCTGTGACCAAGGAGGCCACTGCATCGAATGGCAAAACGATGATCAGGTACTATGCAAGACCTGCATTGTTTATTGTCAGCCAGTCTGATCCTTGCCCAGGGGAGTCAGTGATTGCTCTGCCTAGCAAGCCATGGAAAAAGCCCATCTCGTTGCACAACCCTTTCAACTGATTGCACAACAGAGACGAGAGGCATACCAATTGTCAGGCAGTGGAGGCAGAGACAACGAAAGCGGTTTGCTGACGAAGGTGATGCCATCCCCCCCGTAGGGAGGTCACCTTTGCACCCCTTAGCAGACAAGGAGTGCCATTGGGGTACTCTCTGTTTCAAAAAGAGAGAGCGGCACTGAGTTGCAAAACGTCTCCTGTTGCATGCAAGGCCCGGGTGAGACAGGTGAAACATGGACCTATCCTAGCATGGTACTTGTGCCTCTTTGTACAGCAATGGTCATGGCGTGGTCGCTGCAAGGAGAACTAAGGTTCCCCCTGGCAACCTTCCATTACCATTCTCTACCACCCGCCTATAAGGAGCGAAAGCTAAGGCTCTCGTTCCTACAGGCTCACTGTAATGTAGTTACTGGGGCCGAAAGGATGGTTTAGCCTGAGCTTTCTCGAGCTTGCCTAGCACAGGTAATCGAAGTGGCTGGGGAGCAATGCACCACCACTATTGTTAAAGCGTTGTCAGCCTAGGGTGAGGCTTCTTGAAAGTCTTCTCTCTATTGGTCGTTGTCATTTGGCGGCAGGAATCGAAGCCACTTGGGCTTGTCTAGTTGCTCGCATTTGTCAAAGCATTGGGCCGGGCATATGTACCTCGCCATGTCTTGCTTTTCCCCTTTTTCCAAAATGCTCGAAGCTGCGTACAGCCTGCAAAAGCACGCCGGGCAATGTAAAGCAGGGACGGTGGGGTGCAGACTTCTTGCAGCGAGGTGCAACTGAGAAAAGCTTCTTGCTCTATAATTCGTAAGTTTTGGGAAAGGCTGAGTTGTTGTAGTTGTGCGCAGTGTGCAAAGGTTGAACCCAAAATTTCACTGACTTTCGTTTGGGACAAATCCACCGTTCGCAGCTGCTGGCAACTTGCGCACGCAGCCGTTCCTATCCTGTGAAAGTCTGACGGCAGACAGAGTGCAACGACACCTGCCTCCAAGAAGCAACAGTCAGGCAGAC